AAGGTGGGGGGGACTCTGAGCACGCAGATAAGGAGGCCGATCGGGGGGATTTCCCTGCCCTTTCTGTGCGTGTCTCTGGACGCGGGTGCGAGCAGAGGATGGAAAGTGAACCTCTGCCAAAAGAAGAATTTGAGATGTTAAATCTGGGCTCTGTCAAAAATAAATTGTGAGGGACCAAGAGCGCGAGCGACTGGCAGAAATTCAGGAGCTGCGAAGCAAAAATCTTCTATCGTTTGTCCAGCGAGAGAAAGCCAGGGCGATGCACCTGCTTATAGCTTCTGCAGGTTGCCGTACATCACGCTTTTAAAAAATTGTCACTTGGAGCATTTGCTTTCTCCTCTTAATTTCTCATAATCTGAGTTGGTAGTGTTCGAGCAGCCTTGTTGCCTTTGAGAACGACTTGGGGCATATCTTCCTAGCAGTAAAAAAAAAAAAAAAAACCCAAGTTTTAAGTAGGTAGTTTTAAGTAGCTGTACAGTTACTAGACTAAAAATGTTAATTGTTACATGCTTAGCAGGAATTAACCTTGTTCTAGTTGCAGTTTTTGTTGCATATGAATACAGCCAAGTCTAGAAACAAAATCTGTAGCATGCTAATTCTGAGGCTGGAGAGAAAGACAAGAGTAGCCTTTCTTTTTGAAGGTTTGCTATGTTGGTGCAGCTCTTGCTATTTAAAGTTGATCAAGGCCTTAGTATCTATCTAGAAGAACCGAGAATATGACGTGTGGCTACTTTGTTGCTAGGTGAGAACTTCTTTAGAGACCTTTCGTGTATGAACTCACATCCTTAACGTTTCACACCGTTTGACAATTCCTGTGGTGTGGGTTTCTTGTTCTATTTAAGCTTCTTGACACCTGCCTAGGATCTAGCTGATCTTCTTTGGGCAGGAAAATCTTCTTTTAACTAGTGAAAATATGCAATATTAGCGTTGTACCAGTACCTCTTTTTGAAGTCTCTCTGCTAAAGGAAAGGCTGTGAAGAGGGACGCTTTTCTTACTTTGCCCCCAAGATGTTCATCTGGTAGAACTGCTTTCCTCTGTTCAGTATTAGTAATAGGGAAAAGTAGCAAAGGAGCAAAGCATCTCTGCCACGTGTTGCCGCCCCCCCCCCCCCCAATCTTTCTGCAAGGAATGATGCAGACAGGGTTATTGACTTACTTTAAAAGTTACCAGTAGCTCTTTCAAAACTAGGAAAGACAGTTGCTTTTACTAGGGCTTTGCTGCTTAGGTGGTGTTTCTGCAGCACACATTTTTTTTTTTTTCTTAACCTTTTGCATTTCTAGCAGAGGTACTTTAAGTGGGAAAGCTTCTCGGAGGCTTTGGGCTTAGCACAGGAAGGGTGCCGCTGTTTGGCTGTGTGTCTGCACCGCAGCCAGCAGTCCTGGAAAGTACCTGGCTATTACTGGCTGTGCACTAGTACGGTCATTTGGTGTGTGTGTGTGTAGTGAGTCTGGGACCTCGTTGCTGTATGTGATACGTGGAGGACCGATAAAGACTGTAAATAGGAGGGACTGCTCTGCCACAGAACTAACTCACCTGAGCCGAGGACAAATTGCCTGCGTGCCTGTGTGTAGATGTGGTTGATGCGCATCCTGTGGGGTCTCCAAATCATTTGATAAAGAACTGCATACAAATAACAATACATAGCTACGGACATAGAAAGATCTACGAATGAAGATGCAGGCATATTTAGAGTTGTTAAAGAGTATATATGAAAAACTTTCTGAAAACTCTCTACTTCATTTCCATTTTTTACCAAGTAAGTGTGAGATAAATGACCGGAGTGAAATCTCATAGGAATTTTTATGGCACTCTCACTGAAGGAAGCTGGGTTGGAGATTAACCAATACGCTTCAGTTTAGCAAAAGAATGGTTGGAATCTGGAGTCTCAGTTGTTCCACATGAGGAATTTTAGAGGTTTAAGGAAAGTTTCAAACTGTGCAAGTAACTTGTTTTGAAGGCATCTGTACATGGAGTAGCAGGGTGGAGAGAGTGAAGGGGAAGTATCTTGTGTTGACCAAATCTGCCCTTCTTACAAGCTTTCAGAATATCGAGGGGGCTTTTTGGTGGGTTCCCCCCTCCCCAGCCCCCAAGGTCTAGGGGAAAAAAAAATGTGGCTTTGACAGCTGTGCTACAGGGTTGTGGTTAAGTAGTAGTTAAACTTTGCTCTGTGAATGGGCTGGGTAATTTTTCGACTGAGAAATATGGAGCGTCAATGAGTTGAATCCTTAAGAAGCTAAAAGGGTGTGTGGTCGACTGCCGCTTCTTAAAAAGACATTTGAAAGTTTGGAATAAATCAAACAGATGGCTGGTAAAAGATGGGACGCTAGTTCTTTACACTGGTTCGTCTAACAAAAGTTAGAAGCTGAGCTTCGTGTGAATTTCTGGTATATGCTGTTTTCAGCAGTCACTGTAGAAGTAGGCATGTGACTTGTTTGCTGGTGTCTCTCTGCTCTGTAGCTCGAGATATTATCGAGAAATCACTGGTGTGGGTGGCTGTCTGCAAGCGTGAGATGCTGCATCGTCTTTCTGATGTAATGCGCTTCTCTATTTTCAGGTTCACATAACGCTAGGGACCAAAGACGTATACATAACACTTCCGTGGTGCTGGGACCAACCTTCTCAAGGAAGACTCTAAAATACTATTTTTTATCTTCACCCTGCTTGTCCTGGGACTGACTTGTCTTTGGAGAAAAGTTCAACAGAGGAAAAAGATTTTCACGTTGGAACCATTATAAATAGATTTATTTAAAGAACTTGCTGCCTGGAGACACTTCTGCAGAGATTGAGTCCTGCTTTTCACCTGTGTTCGCACTTCAGACTGTAAACAATGAGTGAGTTCTGGTTGTGTTTCAACTGCTGTATTGCAGAACAGCCTCAGCCTGTAAGTATGAATATTAGCACTGTTTGGTATGCATATAATTAACTTCATTGTTCAAGTTTTCTGTTTTTCTTTTAGCTTTTTAAATGAGTGCTGTTGGACTAAGCTGAGTGAGACTTAAGGAATTACCTACCGTTTTGGCTTAGCTGGGACAAAGATATCTGTTCTAGACTGGTGTCATGCAGATTTTTTTAATCTTAAATCTGTCCAATATCTTTGAAAAGAACCTTTATGTTTTTGAGTTGTGGAGTGGAAGAAAGGGGAGGGTGAGGAGTGACCAAAGCTATCACTCTAAAATCTGCCAAAAATCAGGTGGAAATCTGGTAACGTAATGACTTGTGGTATTGTTTAAGGCCAGTCTTCAGGTATGGCTGGATAATCCTGATGGAAGAGAATTATTTCTGTTAAGACGTACAGGGTGAAATCCAGTCCTCCACCTTTCTTAGCATTCAGTTAAATGAAATCAGGATTTGAGCCTTAATTGTTTTGGTGATTTGAGATGAAACTTCGGGAGGATGAAGGGGCATCCTCATACCACAAATACTTTTTTTTTCCTAGGGTTTGGAATGACTGTAGTGTGACCAAGTAAGTACTGAACAACTGGATAAAAGAGCAATTCAAAGCATACATAAGGAAGCTAGAAAGTACAAAAACATTCTTGCGGTTCATAAACCTGAAAAAGTAGCTTTAGAAGCACGTTCTTGGATCAAGTGCTGTTGAGAGGAAAACCTGTCTGCCATGCAGGGGGAATAAACCAGGAACTTGATAAACGCCTGAGAAAAATCATTGTCCTGAGTGTGGCATCTAGGTCAAGCTAAATGAATGTATGGAAAGGACAGTCATCTCACAGAAGTATGTGGAAATGAGCACAGTGACTACTGAAGGGCATGCTTGAATAAAAGAATCCCCAAATGAATAGTGCAAGCTCAGTTAATATACTCGATGATAATATTTTGCTTTAGGGAAGGCAAAGGACTGAAAAATCTATTGTCTGATGACTTAAAGAGTAAGTAGATAGAAAATGTAGCTGCATAAAGCCTGATAGCAAGACCAAGCCCTAAGTGCTTAACACAAATATTAGAAATGTGACCATTAACATTTCTAACAAATAAATGCAACTTTATCTCGCTTCTAATACAAGCGAGGGGAAGGGTTTATCTCGGATACCAACATGGGAAGCTGCAGCCCTTTCCTGTGGCCTGAATACCATGCCGTCCTTCAAAATGTTGTTGGCAAAGTTTCATTATCTTTAAAGATGGAAAATGAAATAGTGTCTGTTCTCTTCCAAGATCTCTGTCTTGCTCCTTATTGTGATACGATTAAGCTAGTGCCCAAGAAATGTGGTATGTTAATGCACCATTTAATGATCTGTGGGTCATGATTCACGGAGAGGGTGGAGAAAGGGGGGAAACGACCCTCTCTTTGTATATTTCTGCTGATCTGGTGGTGTGCATTTGCCTAGAAAATTAAAACCATCCTTACGCTTAAGATACAAATAGTACGCACTTTGTTATGCACTGACCTAGTTCCTGAAATCTGCCTTCCAAACACTGTAGGAGCCTGCCTGGTTTGAAGTGTCAAAATTCTTCAGGACGCATCTCAAATAAGCTGTGGGCCCGCCTTGGCATGCCTCGCAAGAATTTCTTATAGGTGCTTCGTTGTCCTTTCCTTACAGCGTTACGCTGCTTGTTTTACTGTGTGGAGTATTGTGCAGCAGTGGTTCAGCCATGCACTGTTGCATCCAAGGGAGTATTTAATCAGACAGGTATACATCCTGAGCACAGGAATACTTGAGCTCTGTGATGTAGGTAGCAACGCGTATACCGTCAGCGTAAACAAACGGATAAATCGGCCTAGCCGTAAGGAAACGGTTTTCCCTGTCTGTGGTAGGTGTTGTGTGATCGTGTGTTCAGGAGACTTATTCATTGGAAAAACATGCTAATTTTTAGTGCAAAGATATTGGTACCCACTGCCTTGTTTTAGTAAAAGGTAAGGGGAAACAGGCATGCTTGCATAAAAGCTCCTTCTCCATCCCTTGCTGTCAGTTCAGTCTGTCAGTTGAATCCAGTTTCTCAGGAGAAACTCAGTCTTCTGTCCAGTTTCATTTTTTCCATGTGCATTTTCTTTATTCTGCCTCATGCATCTGAGCTTTTTTCCCCAGACAGTGTCGCAGCTCTACCTTTCAACTTCAGCCCTTACATGAAGCATGCTACTTTGGTCAGAGGAACACTAACAACCAGTCTCTCAAAATAAAAACCTTGAAAGCAGGAAGCTACTTAATCTGCTGCTTATTCTGTCCCATGCTGAAAATATTTCTTTGGAGCTTGCATTCTCTGAAACGTGGGTTTTTCTCGTAATTTTTGTCAGATGCTGATATCTGGGACGTTTTGAATATCGTGGCTATTGACTTAAGCCTTAAGGTGGTGGGTTTGGGAGGGTTTTCTTTTGCTTGTTTGTTTTCCTCTTCACTGGAGGAAAGATTCAAAACTTGAAGTAGTTATGTGTTTCTCTGATATTTATAGCTTCCATTAAGTGATGGGTTTTCTATCTCTCTTGAGATCCCGGAGGCAGGAACAGTCTGCTGCTTCCTTCTGGCAAAATCCTGTGTTACTGTGTTAGATATCTTCAACGCGCACCTCTACTCTATGCAACTATAGTGCCCTTAAAATGAAGGGGGGGAAAAAAAAATACACGCACAGTGTCCTTTCAGTGAATTTGGTAGAAAACTATTATTCAGACTGTATACTAAGACACTTTTTAGCTATTTCTGATACTCTGCAGGCCTTCCGGAATTGCATACTTATTCTTTCCAGTGGCTTTTCATGATTTTGAACCCTAGATGCCCTAGGTTTGCAGAGAACAAAACCGTGCATGTACATTTCAGGCTTTGTAGATAGATTTGTGAACTTTGTGGCAATAAAAATACATTACTTATCTAATTTCACTGGCATCACTTCTCTAATACTGTACCCCAGAGCAGTATAGTAACAATGTTGTGGTTATACGTTAGTGCACTTTAGGAGGTTCATTAATTAAAAAGACAGGCTTTAAGGTATTGCCATCATCGTTACTGAAATGAATCACTTGTGCATCTATAGCCTCTTTTTGCCCTTTGTCAGGGCTAAGTGGATGCACTGTGCTGCTGTGAAATAAAGCACCGGCTTCCTGGAAAACAGTGTTGTATTCTTACTCCTGAGATTACTTTGGTTGCTAAATATTTCACTTGGCGTTTCCAAGGCTGCTATACTCATAATAAGATCATGGAAAGGGCATATCTGAACGTACAGCTTTTTTCTTCTACAAAATAAGATGATAACTGAAGAACTTGAGTATGCAAGGAAACAAAGCGGAATAGTTACATGCCTGTTCCTGATGGCCGGGTTAGGTATCACTGCCTAACAGCCTGGGAACACTTCCATAATAGAACATTGGGAAGATGTGAACATAAGGCAAGGAAAGGTATCTTTGTATCAGCTTCTTCGGTTTTTCTCGTCAGATTTTTGCCTGAAAACATATTTTACCAGAAGGAAGACTTAAGACAACTGGTTGATTTTGTTTTTGTTTTCATGACACTAAGGAGGTGATATTAATCTCTTAAGAAATGGCTATAGGCAAGTTTTTGTTGGTTCTTTAAGTGTCCTGAACTTAATCTCTTATGATCTGAACCAAGCCCCTTTTTTTGAGAAAAGTAGCACTTTCCATGATTGCACCATATTTCTTCCAGAGAGTATCAGTGGGAAGTGCAGCTTGTGTAAGCTGTTTTTTGCACTTCCCAGTGACTAGAGGAATATTTCCTCCCATCCTCCGACATGCTTCCCATGTGCCACAGCCCCGGTCCTCTGCTATGTTTCAGTAACTTCTGCCAAATCCCTGCTACCAGCTGTTTTGCTTCCTAGCAGCAACCTTTCAAGCCTTGTTTCTCCTGTAGCTCTGCACAGAACATACCCATGCTTGCTTTCCTAGGCTGAGCTCATAGGAGCCTGTTATTTTCCTTCTTTTTTTGTGTCTTTGTCCTGTCCATTTTTAACTTGCAAAGTTAATTCTTGGTCTGGGAAGCCTTTGGTCACAATCTGGTGCACTCCCACCTGAGTACGGGCCACCGCCCAGTGCAGTTGGGAAGTGTGAGCGCTTCAGTTTCCTTTGATCTTCCAGTAAAATTACTGCTCTGCAATAAAAGAATAACCTATGGTCTCCTCCTCGCTCTGGGCTTCCTTCTCCAGTTACTTAATTTCTTCTTTGCTGCTTCTGCCCTATTTTGAGGATTTTCACTTTGCCTTTTGTCAAAGGGCTCTTAGGATTTTGCTTTATACTGTGCCACAGATTAAATCCAGATCTTTTTTCAATATATGAAATGGGTATGAAAGACAATGAAGCTTTCTAGAGTGGGGAAGCCCATATATTTAAAAAAAAAAAAAACACACACACAGGCAGAAGAGCAATGTATTTTCACTTCAAGCCAGTCCTGTGCATCATCTCTGGTCAAGTGACGATGTTACAGAGGCCAAAAATTAAAGTGGAGCATTTGGAAGTTTCTGTTACATGATTTCAAACTAGTTTGTAAAACACTTATCCAAAACTTGTGTTGCTCAACTTAAATTGGCCCATGCTGCTACACTGAATGTTCCTGCCTTAACTTAACTTTTTTTTTTTTTTTTTTTTTTTTTTTTTAGAAACTAAGGTATTCTGGAGGTTTGTTGGGGGAAATGGAAGGAGGAGGGGAAAACAGGTTTTGAAGAAGGTTGCATTGAATTTGGTTAGAAGACCAGGGCCCAGTAGAGCAACTTTACAGTATACAACAATAATGGAAAGAGGTGGGATAAGGTTGATGGGCTATCTTTACTAGTAGACCTGACCCCTATAATGAGGGGACACTGCTGACAAATACTGACTTCCTCCTCTGACTTCCTCACCTCTAGCTCTTTTCCTAGAGAGTGAGATCTGGTGAAGGATGGATCTACCACTATAACTCCTAAGACCTTGAGCGCAATATGAGTACAGAAACA